TCTAAATTGTAAAAATAGAAAATTTTAATTTCAAATGCATTTTTTTTAAAACAATGTTTTTTTTATTGGCTTAAAATATACTATGATACTCCTAGATTGATAATCAAAAACGTCCTTGCATGAAAACAATTTGAATTATTTCTTAAATTTAATTTTTCTGGATCAATTCCGGAGTGTCAAAATAGAACATTTAAACTTCAAACGCGTATTTAACCATGTTTTGCAAATCGGAGAGCAGTAGAACTCGAAAAATTTTCGTCCGATTGGCCTGAAAATTTAACTTTAGCTACTTAAACACTACTTTTACACACAATTTTTAAAATTGATAAACAGGATTTTTTTATGAAGAATTAAAGTAGATTTTTTTGGGTGAAAAAATGCGATTTTTTTGCAAGTATCACAATTCTTCTAAAAAAAATTCTAAAATTATAATCATGTACACATGATTAAAATTTTCACTAGATAATCTTATGTAGTTTATAAAAAAATTTTTTTTTATTTAAAAAGCCGATGTTGCCAACAATAATTTTAAACTGTACTTATAAAAATTTTTGAAAAACACCTTTTTTTAAGCCTCCAAACAGGTATAACTCCTTAAAACATAGATATTTGTATATTTTGTTTTCTTTTTATTATATTATGAATTTAAATGCATTAAAATATAAAAAAGATGATTAAGATTTTAATTTTAACAAACATCTATATTTTCAAAATACCCTGGGAAAAACAACACACACCGTTCGTAGTGCAAGGCAGAATTTTTTGGTGTAGGCTCAAATTTCTTAAAATAAAAACACTATTTTGTTATTTGTTAATATCACAATTTGTAAATTTGGTCTATTCCACTAAGTGGTACTGTAGTCCACATAGTATATTTTTTACCGTGTACGTTATTGCAATTTTGTTATGCTTATGACAATGCGGGGTCCACTGGACCCCGCTTGCCCGTTCGTGCCGGTTAAAAGTTTAAACATCCATGTAGCATCATGTACAATTGGAATATGAAAACTGTAAAAGTATTTGGATGTATTTTTAGTATATTTAACAGAATTTCTAGGATAAACTCATTCTTTCATACGGATTCGGAGAAATTGGAAAAATACATACTCGCGGGGTCCAGTGGACCCCGCTTGCCCGCCCAAGGGTTAATAAAAAATGGAAAAATTGATTTTTTATCTCAGCGCAATATTTATGGAATGAATTGTTTAAAATGAAGGATGTTTAAAATATTGTCGGCACATTCAATATATAAGAACATGTGTCTTTTACATCTTTTCGAAAGCATTGTTATATTCAAAGTAAACTTGAGTTTGGTACCACTTTGAGGAGTACACTACCGTCCACGAGTATCAGGATGATTACAAACGACTCTATGAAAAAACATGCCATCACTTTTTCAATCATATCTCGGAAATAAAAGGAGATACGAAAAAAACTTAAATACGGTTAGTATAAATTATTTGTATTTCTTTTCCTTCTTTAAATACTCGAGTAAATGGCCAAAGAAAATGTATTGTTTCGTTGAAAATAATTGTAATAATTGTAAACTAGAAATGTGTGGGACGGGGTAGGGGATTGTGTGCTTGGAACTCAGGTTGGAGTTTTCTAGAGATTGTGAAAACAAGGAAAAGGTACCTTCTATTTTTTAAGCGTTGATTAAAACTTAAAATTGGAAGGCTCTGTGTTCGAAACTGTTATGAAAAGCAAAATTGAGCACAGAGTGGGGAGCAGGTACTCGGTAGACGAGTAGGCCATAAAGATAAGAAGGGTGAAAACAAAAGGATGGCCTGGGACTCGGTCGAGCTGTTCACTTACCGGTGGAGAAGGGACTCAGGCACAATAAAAATCCCCTCCTTTCGTCAATATACATATTTCTGGTTGAAAAACCTCAGTTTTCTTTTCGACGTTGTAATAAGTGGACATTTAAAATAAAACCAAAAGGCGTTTCTGTATATCTATGTGTTTTCTTGTCATTTATTTAATGCACCCTTCCTTGTAGTCAACGAAATTTACGAATTTAACAGTTAGAAAGCTGATTAAATTTTGCATAAAATAAGCCGTCTTTGAAGTCATTTTGTTAATTATGTTTTGGTTGTATAGTGAGAAAGAAATAAGAAAAATTATCAAATTTTCTCATTTTTGTCTCTTGACTTCAACTTTTTCAAAAATCTAGGAAAATTTAGATAAAATTTTTCTAAAAACACAGAAATCTTCTTCCGAATTTCAGCTTTAAAATAAGCTTTCGAAAATTAAAAAAGGTTAATCCGTCTTCGATATATTATTAACCCGTTGACTGTCGCTGACGCATATATGCGCAAAACTAAACTGGCCAAAAGTGGTTCATGACGCATGTATGCGCTACTTAAAAAAAGTGATTAAAAACTTCTTACATGTTCCTGAAACCGGTTACTCGGGGGTTTTCGAGGTCGCTGATTACGAATATGACATTCGTTTTCCAAAATTCAAAATGGCGGATCCAATATGGCGAACAATAAAATAAAAAATTGATCAGATTGACTTGAAACGTAGTACTCGGGGGTTTTTGGGGTCGCTGATTACGAATCTGACATCAGTTTTTCTAAATTCAAAATGGCGGATCCAAGATGGCGGAAATTTTTCAAAATTCGTCGAATTTGCTTGAAACTTGTTACTCGGGGGTTTTAAGGGTCGCTGATTACGAATCTAACATTAGTTTTCTAAAATTCAAAATGGCGGATCCAATATGGCGCACGACAAAATAAAAAATTAATTATAATGGCTTGAAACTGAATACTCGGGAGTTTTTAGGGTCGCTGATTACGAATTTGTCATTATTTTTTAAGGTATTTATCGAAATTTGATTTCACCAAAAATTATCATACTGATGTCAGATTAACCAGTTTCAAACAAATTCAATGAATTTAAAAAAAATTTCCGCCATATTGAACCATATATTTTGAATTTTGAAAAACTGATTTTAGATTCGTAATCAGCGACCCTGAAAATCCCCAAGTATTCAGTTTCAAGCCAATCTTATCAATTTTTTATTTCGTTGTCCGCCATATTGGATGCGCCATTTTGAATTTTGGAAAAATAATGTTAGATTCGTAATCAGCGACCCTTAAAACCTCCGAGTAACAAGTTTCAAGCAAATTCGACGAATTTTGACAAAATTCTGCCATCTTGGATCCGCCATTTTAAATTTCGAAAAACTGATGTCAGATTCGTAATCAGCGACCCCAGAAACCTTAGGGTACCGAGTTTCATAAAAATCCATTAAAAATTTTTTTAACACACTTTTGGCCCAAACAGTGGAAATCTCGTTGACAGCCAAGGGGTTAAAAGTGTGAAGCCGAGTTTCGACGATTGGTGCATTGGAATTTAACTGTGAAAACTTGATTCTAGCTTCGGATGGCTGCGAATGGGAGAGAAAACAGGGAAGGATTTTTGCTAGAGAATAATAAATAATGATGTTTCACGAGTAATATAAAGAAACTCAAAAGTTCATCGTTCCCCTGCATGAATTCGTCCCTGCTTTCTCTCTCATTCGCAGCCGCGCGAAGCCAGAATCGAGTTGTCAGAGTTGAATTTTAATGCATTAATCGGTCGAAACATGACTTCACATTTTTAATGATATATCGAAGACGGATTAATCTTTTTTAATTTTCGAAGGCTTATTTTAAAGCTGAAAATTTTTTTAGATTTTTGAAAAAGTTGAAGTCAAGAGACAAAAATAAGAAAATTTGATAATTTTTCTTATTTCTTTCTCACTCTACAACTCAAAACATAATTAACGAAATGACTTCAAAGACGGCTTATTTTACGCAAAATTTAATCAGCTTTCTAACCGTATTTAATGATAAATCGTCCAAACGCCCGTCCTGCCGGAAGGATGTTCCGAAAAAAAGGCTTTTAAAAAAAGGGAATTCAACTTTTCTTTTCTGGCACTCCTTGGGATTAAAGTAGACGAAAAGACGAAAAAATCCATATTTTTGACTTTTTAAAATAATAGTTTAAACCATTTTTCAAAGCCTTCAAACTTGCTATGTTTTTAAACAGTGAAAAAAACATTTTCTTCATACCTCGGTCGAAAGTACGTATTTCCCGCATCAAGATCGCAGCAGAAAGCTTAAAATTTGTGCATTGATGGTTTTACTAGCACGCCATCTATCACAGCGGGAGCAAAAAAATTTTGTAGGCTATACTGTCGGTAATTCGTTGTTTGTACGCAGCGCGAGATTGTTTTTTGACACTTAACCTCACATTTTCTTCATTAATTGAAAGTAAATAATAAAAAAATGGATCAACAATTCACATCTGATGAATCTTCAGATGAGGAAGAAGTTTTGCGCGATTTTGATGCAGAAGCACAACTAATAGTACAGACTGCAACTTTGCCAAAAAAGTCCGGGGATAGGTATTTACTTGTTTATGAGACCTACAAAACGTGGCAGAGAGAACACAAAAGTTCTCTATCAGATTCTCACGAAACAAACTTAATTGTTTATTTCAAAGAATTAATTGCCAAATTAAAACCGACGACCCTTTGGAGCATATTTTCCATGTTAAAAAAAACACTAAATACGAAAGACAACGTAGACATCAGCAAATTTCAAAATTTAAAAAGTTTAATTAAACAGAATCGTAAAGGGTATAAACCTAAAAAATCGGCAGTATTCAAATGGACAGAAGTAATGGAATTCATGAAAAGTGCATCAGACCACATTTATTTAGGTGTAAAGGTTATTACCTTTATTTATGTTTATTTTATGTTTACTTTATTTATAAATTATTATTATTATTATTATTATTATTATTATTATTATTATTATTATTATTATTATTATTTTTATTATTATTATTATTATTATTATTATTATTATTATTTGTTTACTTCATTTTATAGTTTACTTTATTTATAAATTATTATTATTTATGTTTACTTTAATTATTTATACTATGAATTTGAATTCTTACATTTAAAATTTTTTCAAGGTTATTCTAATATTTGGAATTTGCGGAGCGCTCAGGTGCGACGAAATGAAAAACCTTAAGGTGCAGGACATCGAGAATCTAGGCAACAAGTACCTTGTGTCAATTACCGATACCAAAAATGATAAACCTCGCCAATTTATAGTTGGCGAAATGTTTTACGACAAAGTTAATAGCTACTCTTCGTTGAGACCAAATGACGAATTTACGGATCGATTTTTTGTCCAATATAATAAAGGAAAATGTATTCGTCAAGTTATTGGCCGAAACAAATTTGGAGAAATTCCTCAGCTTATAGCTGAATATTTGAAATTGCCAAATTCAAAACTTTATACTGGACACTGTTTTCGGAGAACATCAGCTACTCTTTTAGCTAATTCAGGTGCCAGTGTTACGTTGCTTAGGCAACTAGGAGGATGGACATCAAGCAATATCGCAGAAGGTAATTTATTTATTTGTTTAATTAATATATATAAACTCGAATTTGATTCTTCACTAGATATTTATACAGTACTTTTTTTATTAAATAACTTATTTATTAAAAATTTACTTATTTACAGGTTATGTAGAAAATTCGATGACAAATAGGCAACAAATTTTTGAACGCATAATTCATGAAGCTGCTCAGGTTAAACCATCGACGAGCAAAAACAGTTCAAATAAAATAATCATTCAGAATAAAAATGATAAATCTGCAGAAGCAGATTTGGATGATTTTTTTGAGAATTTTGAGGTTACTGAGCAGGAACTAAATTTAATAGATCAATTAAATGAATCAAAGGAACCTTGCTCATTGACACCTCAATTTACAACTGCAAATAACAATAAAATCCTCGTGCCAAACCATAACCAACCAAAACCAGCTCAACATTTTACCTCTAAACCACCAGTTAGAGTATCATTTCAGGGACCACCAAATGAACCACCGAAAAAAATACTTAAAATTTCAGCAGGTAAAGCTAGTGCAGTTGGACAGACTTTGCAATCTTCATCTGGTCAACGAGTAGAAATTAATAAGGATATAAATTCAACTTTCGGCAAAAATTCATGTGTAAAATATGAAAACTGTGTATTTCACGGGAATATCACAAACAATTTTTATTCTTCATGAACACTTGAAAAATTATTCAGTTAAATATCGTCGAAATTAATTGCTCTATTAAAAGCGGTACTACGAGTAGATATAAACTTGTAAGAAAGAATTGTTATTCATTTATAATATTAAAATAAAGAAAAATTTTGTATAAAATTAAATATTTCTTTACTTCTGTTTGTTGTTGCAAGTACTTCTGTTTGTTTTTTTTCGATGCCTGCCCCCGACCAGCAAGCACTCGCTTCGCTCGTGCTGCAAATGTCGGGGCAGGCATAAAAAAAAAACCTTGACTGAAAGAGAGAGAAAGAGAAAAAATCAGAGCTTCGAGAATGTCCGGTAGAGGCGCTGAAGCGAGGAGCAAAAATAAAACATGGCTGTTCGATTTGAGGATGTCAAATTGCAATATTTTTAATAAGTGAATTAATAAGCGTACTTTCGACCGTATATAAAGAAAAATGGTATACATTACATGGGCATAAAGTTCGAAATTCTCGCACCGCGGGAAATGATGCCCGAGGCGAAGCCGAGGGCATCATTTCCCGCGGTGCGAGAATATCGAACTTTCTGCCCTTATAATGTAATATACTATTTTTCGTAAATTTAATGTAAAATCCCCAAAAATCAATATTTTTTGACCGGACATGTCTCTTTCTCTTCAGAAACGTTCAAAGAATGAAACCTAATTGTTCAATTAAAAAAAATTCATTTTTAATATTGTTCAGTATATCTGAGTAATACTCAGGCGCGAGTCCCTTAGAAATTGCTCTATAAAATTAATATGGAAGCAGATAAATATAAAACTAAATATATCGTTGGAAAGGTAATAAAACAAGCTTTCTAATGATGTAATATCGAGTCTTTAAATTTATAAACCTGGGCTAGGCAGTCTCTTAAATAAAGCGAAAAGCGTCCTGCCGGCAGGACCGGGCTTCGTCATTCTGTGACTAAAAATTATGTGAATTTTTGGAACATGTAACTTCTTCAAACTACCCAGCCCTTAGTTTTGAACTTACAAGCTCGATATTTATATGCGCTGAAAGCTTGTTTCGTTACCTTTCCAATGATATATATCATTTTTTATTTATCTGGATCCATGTTAGTTTTCTTTAGTGATTTCGGAGGGATTCACCTGAGTCTTTTTCGTCTTGCCGGAAGAACGTTGGACGATCTATCATTAAGTTGTTTTTGTATCTTAATTTATTTCCGAGATATGATTGAAAAAGTGATGGCATGTTTTTTCATAGAGTCGCGTGTAATCGTCCTGATTCTCTTGGATGGTAGTGTATATATATATATATATGGGCAATTCCACGCAAGATTTACCTATGACCTTGAGAATTCGGTTAAACATATTTTTTTCTCAATCTATATGGAAAAAAAAGAAATACGTGTTTTTTTATTTTTGTTTAATCGCCCAAATTGTCGAGTTATGGATTTTCGAAATTTTGGATTTGTAACTGTAGACATATTTTCAGTAGCTTATAAGTCTGAAAATATTGAGTTTAGAAAAAACTTGTCAAGGAATGAAAGTTTTAGTTTTCTTTCAACTTTTCAGAAATGTAAAAAAAAATTTTTTTTTAAATTTTTTATTAAAAAAAAATTTTTTTTTTATAAACAAATTAATTTTTTTTAACTTTGGACCCTTTTTTTTAAATTTATTTATACCTTATAATATACAGAAAATTTTCCAAAAAGTTTTGGAGTGGGCCCACGCGTTTAATGAGTTGTACAAAATTTTCAAAAATCACGTGCAAGGTGCTCGCGTTCTACAAACGCCTCACAATGGAATTTTTTTACAATTTACTTCTCAAAAAATGTCTACAGACTAAAATTTTTAATCGATTCGAGTGTTTTTTGTTTTAAATAAAAGGAAAACAATTTCTGAAGATATCTCTCCATGCAAACCTAAGAATCTTCAATTATTTATAATTTTTTTTAAAAACAAAAAGTTAACAAATTAATTGTGTAGTTTCCTTTAAAAATAAAAGATTATTTTCTTATTTTGCTACTACACATGTCCTAAATCAGATTCAATTAATATAATATACGACCACCAAATAAATAGTAAAACATAAAATAATTTATATAAAATGTTATAAACAATATTAGTTAACAAATAGTTAACTTTGGTTCCTCTCCATTAAAAAAACTTTGTTCTTTCATATTCATATTTTACTTTAGGTTCATTTAATGAATACATCTCCCTTTCGTTAAAAAACAATTTTTAATTGTTATAAATAATAATAGTTAACAAATAATGAATTTTGGTTCCTCTGCACCAAAAAGAATTTTTTTCATAGTTTTCATTGAAGTTTATTACAAAGAATATATGTTAAAAAATAGTGAACGTATGAAATAGTTTGTTCAATAACTATAAACAATTTAATTTATATAAATTTGTATTCAATGTTATTTTTCTTTCCTTGTGTTTTTGAAAATTAAAATAAAAAAATTAATTAAAATAAAATAAATGCAATTAATATATATTTTACATTAAAATGTTTATTGTTTTATTTTGACACAAACATTCTTTGTAATAAACTTCAATGAAAACTATGAAAAAAATTCTTTTTGGTGCAGAGGAACCAAAGTTCATTATTTGTTAACTATTATTGTTTATAACAATTAAAAATTGTTTTTTAACGAAAGGGAGATGTATTCATTAAATGAACCTAAAGTAAAATATGAATATGAAAGAACAAAGTTTTTTTAATGGAGAGGAACCAAAGTTAACTATTTGTTAACTAATATTGTTTATAACAGTTTAGATAAATTATTTTATGTTTTACTATTTATTTGGTGGTCGTATATTATATTAATTGAATCTGATTTAGGACATGTGTAGTAGCAAAATAAGAAAATAATCTTTCATTTTTAAAGGAAACTATACAATTAATTTGTTAACTTTTTGTTTTTAAAAAAAATTATAAACAATTGAAGATTCTTAGGTTTGCATGGAGAGATATTTTCAGAAATTGTTCTCCTTTTATTTAAAACAAAAAACACTCGAATCGATTGAAAATTTTAGTCTGTAGACATTTTTTGAGAAGTAAATTGTAAAAAAATTCCATTGTGAGGCGTTTCGTAAAACGCGAGCACCTTGCACGTGATTTTTGAAAAATTTGTACAACTCATTAAACGCGTCGGCCCACTCCAAAACTTTTTGGAAAATCTTCTGTATATTATAAGGTATAAATAAATTTAAAAAAAAAAAGGGTCCAAAGTTAAAAAAAAATTAATTTGTTTATAAAAAAAAAATTTAAAAAAAAATTTTTTTTTACATTTCTTAAAAGTTGAAAGAAAACTAAAACTTTCATTCCTTGACAAGTTTTTTCTAAACTCAATATTTTCAGACTTATAAGCTACTGAAAATATGTCTACAGTTACAAATACAAAATTTCGAAAATCCATAACTCGACAATTTGGGCGATTAAACAAAAATAAAAAAACACGTATTTCTTTTTTTTCCATATAGATTGAGAAAAAAATATGTTTAACCGAATTCTCAAGGTCATAGGTAAATCTTGCGTGGAATTGCCCATATATATAGTATAATATACAAAACGACCCAGATTGTTAAGCACTCTCCTTTCCCATAACCTACAAATGATGGCAAACCGCTCCTTCACTTCGTGCTCCTCATTCGTCATCTGTGAACGACCAAAGCACCGTTTCTCTCCGTTGATCTTGTCTTTTGTAAAACTAACTCCTTTATATATTTTTATAAAATACAATCTCAAGCAACAACTTACAGTGCGACAATATATTATTATTATTACCATTATTATTGTTTATACTAATAATAATAAATTCATTTTTCTTTTTATCTTTTTCAATAAATAAAGTGGGCTTTTTGACAAAGAAATATTTTATGTTCCTATCAAGAACTGTTTTTATTTCTAACCATTTTTTTTCAATTTAAAACGTGTATTGTTTCATATATTTATATATATATATAAGGGAAGTGTTCCGGTTGTGGGCACCTTTTTGTTTTTGCCTCATAACATTTTTCCATGTGCATATTATACAAATATATGTGTACGAATTTAAAGCTAGAGGTCTAAGGTGACTGTCAGTGAAGGAATTAAATTGATTCCTTTAAATAAAAAAGTTTTATTAGAAATTTAGTGAAATGGGAATTTTTTGACAAAAAAAATTTTGTACCCGGTTGTGGGCACCCTTGAAAAATCCGCTAAAAATGGAAAAATATTAAAGGAAATCAACACAAATAAAGAAGAAATGAAAGTTTCTTTATTTTAAGAGACTTTGCCGGGATAAAGAACAAAAATGATGACACGTTTTCACACTATGCTCATCGCTAACAAAAGCATAATGCTTGCATGTGAAGTAGCTAGTATGCATAACATAACGCACTTCGAATGCACTGAACGACTATATTCATCGCATTTAATGGAGTTTGCGGCTGTCACTTTCCTTGGCAGAAAGTTTAGATAGATGAGACAGTAGTCCTCATCATTGTCAGATGGTAGAGCTTCCTTAACATAAAGGTGCCCACAACCGGGAATGAAAGTCATTTTTTAAAAAGACCAACACATTTTGTGATGCAGGATTTTGGTTAAACACGAAGGTAAATCACAAAATATAATGACAACACTGCAAAAAAAAAATTAAACCCTTTTTTTCTGAACGAATCTACACCCATATGTTGCTCTTCGAAAACAATACAAAATTACTTTTTTATTTATTTAATGCAAATTTTCTTTATTATGCTCACAGCTATTACACAAATGCATATATTTGTTTCGTTATCAATACGAAAAGTCCGTATTGTCAACGATTACGACTTGCAATACTTAGTTCAGTAAAGTCTGCTTGCCGTCGAAGTTTACGTAGGGGTGCCCACAACCGGAGAGTGCCCACAACCGGCGCACTTCCCCTATATACATTTTTTTTCAAAAAAGTAATTCTTCCTTGGAAAGAAACATTCTTTTTGTTCCATAAAATCTGCTTTCACTCAAAAAAATTGATTCTTGTTCCAAAGAAGCATTCGCTGTTCAATAAAACATGCTTTTTTGTTTAAAAAACAAAGCCTTATTCCGAACAATTGTATTTCTTGCTTTAAAATGCTTTATCTATTTTTGCTCAATGAAATATGATATGTTGTATAGAAACATTTGTTACACTGAAAAAAATGATATT